ATTCATGAGAGGCAAACGAAAACAGGCCGGCATACAAGCGGAAAAATAGCCCGTCTGCATTTTAGATGAAGCCCAGGGTCGTCTGACTCGCTGTGTCATGATATCTGGGTCTGTGGTGAAAACACTGAGTCGAGAACCAGTTTGATGCAAAAATCTCAAATTATGCAGTAAGATATGAGGTCATACAGATACAAATCAGTCACTCTTATTCATATTCAAGCTAACAGGTCTCTGAGTTTGAGGCTTGCGTGACCGTGGGCATTCCCCCGTATACCTCTCAGTGTGAAACTGGCTTCAGATTAGCATTTCTCAGAGCCTGTGTGAGCTCGTAGCAGTGGCAGGGAGCTGCTGTGGCCTTCAGTGCTGCTGACTGTTCTAAGAATAGGCAGCAGGGTCCAGGGAACATCTCGTCTCTCACTGCCTCCCTCTCTCCCCCACCTTCCCCTCCCTTTCTAGCTCCACATGCTGCTAAAGTATATATCTCACATAAACACATACAAAAATACAAACAGACATTAAGCTCCTATAAGAAAAATGGCCCTGGATGCTGGAGCATTTTCAATGGAATTTCAATGGTTCTGAAAATATATGTTGAATAGTTGCATCTACACTATTCAAACCACGTTCTGATGTATGTTAAAGATATATTTGTCTTTCCACTTGACTCCCTCTTTCCTTTTTCCTCCCACGCCATTTTCCACCCTCCCTCCCTCTCTCCCCCCTTCACTCCACTCCTCTCCTGCCTCCTTTTTTCCTCTCCTTTTCTCTCCTCCTCCCCCCCGTGCACTAATGTGGAGGTTGAATCTAACCCTGCTGGATGACATTACTCTGTGCTGCCTGCTGGCCTGTCTGCTCGCCTGGGGACTCTAAAATAAAACACAGTAGTGGGGGGAACCAAAGTGAGAGCACATACTGTAAGGGCAGCCTGACTGACATGCTCTGATAGAGCACGCACCCACACCCACACGCACACACACACACACACATACACACGTTTAGTGTGAGAAAACGGCTCGCAGAGGACAGAATGTGTATCAAAGTGTGTGATGAGTGTGTGTTTGTGAGCAAAGGAGCCTGTTTGAGTGTGAGTGTGGGGTTGTACTCAGAGAGAGAGAGAGAGAGAGAGCGGAGGGGAGGGGAGCAGGCCTCTCCAGCTGTGCCCTGTCAATCTTTCATGACCTAACACTCAGGAAAACAGAGGAGGGCAAGGTGGACAGGAGTGAGAGGGGAAGAGAAAGCGAGGAAGATGGTGTTTCTGAATTTTCCCTTTTGTCTGATAGAAAATAAGTCAAGGAGGGGCAAATGAGCACTGAAAAACATACAAGAATATTTTTGTCTGTGCGTGTGTGTGTGTGTGTGCGTGTGTTTGTGTGTGTCTGTGTGTGCGTGCATGTGTGTGTGTGTGTGTGTGTGTGTGTGTGTGTGTGTGTGTGCGAGTGAGAATAACATGCCGCTGCCAGAACCCCATAGCCTGAATTCAACATCCCTCACCCTGAACAAGTGACAAAAAGATAACCATGTTTCACTTCACCGCTTCACGCCCTCTCTCTCTTTCTCTCTCCCTCTAACTCTTAGTCATTCTCTTTCTCATCCTGCTCTTCGCCATGCACCCCCAGCTCTTCCTCACCTCACCCTCCCACCCTCAGTTCTGTCTCTCTCTCTCTCTCTCTCTTTCTTTCCACATGGCTGGCCATCCTCTCCCATGTCCCAGAGGATGGGAGGCTGTGCGGCAGCTTGGCAGGCTGTCAGGGGAGTGCCGGAGAGCAGGGAACATGTAGTGACTGGAACGGGGGGGGGGAGCACTGAAATCCCTGGCTCCTCACCTAACTGTGGCACTGGAAGAACTGGCTCGGCTTAGTGACGCTATGGGCATAGAGATGCAACGGGCTGAGGGTGCTACAGAGAGAAAACACAGCTCTCACTCTTCTTCTGTTTCTGGATGCCTGTCCGCCACACACAGCAGGAAATAACGAGGCAGCAGTCAACATGTCATCCTGTGCCAATCATGCTGTCCCGCTCTGCAACGCCCCCTCAGTAACCTACATGACACGTCACCTTTTACTGACCCGCAATTACCACACATGGCAATAGTAATTGGTGAGAGACGTCATTCCTTAATCGCACTGTCCACGCCAAGATGGATATTTGAGAAATACAAACTTTTTCATCTGCGTTTATGCCTCTTGTCAACATATGTTTTTTTCTTTCGTCTTTCAAAGTGCAGGTCTTCTAACACATGTAAAACAGAGTGTGATGTCATAGCTTACTTTGCATATGCACACTGTTGTTTTGTGTAGAGAGCATGTGCCAGAAACAACAACATTGGTGGCGAATATAATATATAATTACATGTTTGCAGATCAATTTTGTAGTACTGCACCACTTTGTCAGTATTCAAAGGCGTCGGCCTTACATTACTTGGACCACAGCGTTCTTCTCCGGTATTTTTCGGACTACTAGACTTTATCGCCACCTACCTGCCTGGAATGCTTTTTTGAGCATCTGTAGTCGTTTTTGTGTTCTCATCTGGATGGAGATAAAATATCCACCGTACTGTAAAAAGGGCACAAGTTTCTGTGCAATCGAAGAAGTGCTGACTGAAAATGTAAATGTGGTGTCAAACATCATGGTGCCTGATATTTATTTTTATTTTTATTTATTTATTAAGTTGGTGACACCTTAATGTGACACTTAGATTTGAGTTTTTTTTCTTAATCTCAGTTATGTAAGAGGAGGAGAAAAATAAGGTGGCTACTAAGTTTTACTCTCAAGTAGTTCATCTTATCAATAAACAATCTTTGCACTAGCTGCTGTCTTCACTGTTGTGTGGAACTGGAGGAACAGGCTCAGCTAGAACAGCAAATATGAACGTCTGTGAAACTGGCAGGAGGAAAAGTGTGGTGTTAATGCTGATCTCGTATTTAAAAAAATCAGGTTGTGAATGCAAATGTGACTTTAAAATGGAAAGCTGTTGTCGACTACTTTAACAGATTACAAGGGGACGAAGCTCCTTTCAGCAGATAAAGCTGTTAAAAATATATTCAATGAAAAACACCATTCACTCACTCATTTATGAACACTAAAAACCACTGGGGCATAAAAGCGACAAAATTCAATGCTAATGCAAAGCTTAATCACATGCCATGAAAATTAGCATCAGCGCTAATGCTACATGGAAACTACTCTTTGTCTTCATGTAATTAGAGCAATAACAATACAGTTACTTTACAATACTGTGGAACACCAGGCATGCCAAATTTCCAATACATTATATTTTTAAAGAACCGAGGGCCACTGTGAGTTGCGTTTGTGATAAGTTACTAAAGCACTTTTCCCTTTGGTCTCCCTTCAAAAATCCCGCCACATCACACAGCAGCCTCGTCCCAAAACAACAACATGACACTTTGCCGACCCGCGCTCCCTCCCTCCTGACAGAGAGAAAGGGGAAAAAAAGATGACAGCAGCTTTAGATCTGACATCAAACGCCGGCAAGAGAGTGAGAAAGAAAGAGGGGGAGAGAGGGGGAAAAAAACGGTTACATCTCTGCCGTGACAGCTTGCTGGAAAAGCCTGGCAAACGCTGAGCAATTTCTCCCTCCTCTCTCTCTCTTTCTCTCCCCGTCCATCTATCCATCGCGCCCTCTCTCCTTCTCTGTGTGTGTCTCTCTCGCTCTCATCAAAACTTGCCGCCGATTAGGATCTCTGCGAGCAACGCGCTTTGGATGGGATGTGAAAACACACGGAGAACCCAAGGGGTAAAACGCCAGGATTAAAGTGGTGAGGGAATATGGGGTGATAGTGGCGCTGGTTCAAATAGATCGGCCCCTGTGACTGCAGCGGCTCCTCGCCTCGCCTTGCTCTCTCGCTCTGGATTCACACACTGATACATCAAGGCCATTTCTCATTACAGCACGGGGGGGAAATACAGAGGAGGGAAGGGAATGGGGGGGACAAAGAGTGTGTTTGAATGAAAATGAAAGAAAATGGAGAAACGCCAAGAGAAAGCAGATGACATACTATTAGTAGTATGTTATGTAAGGGAAAAACTAAACAGAGATAGAAAGATTGTGTGAACGTGAAAGTGGAAAAACAGGTTAGAAAACTGACAGATAAAGAGGGAGAAAGAAAAGTCAGCCGTCAGTGTTTGTTGAAAGATGACCAGGCACATAGTCTTTAAAAGTATCAGTGTACGGAACATATTGAGATTTCATTTGAGTTCATATACTTGATTTAGCTTTTCTTGCAGTTTATTCTTCCACTCCTGAGGCTGTTCTAAAGTGTCGGGTAAATTAAACGGCACACACCTCAAGCGGTGCCAATATTTGCAACTTTTGCAAATGTCTATTTATTCTATTCTTGAAAGTGCTGTGGAGCTGGAAGGGGGAGAAATCATAGAGAGTAAAAAAGCGATTAGTTTAGCCCCCAAAAAAATGGAGCAGCCCGCATCTCTCTCTCCCCTCATAGATCAGCCATGGCCTCACAATTTCTTCTCAATTACTCCTCCTCCAGGCAACCTGCTTAACGATTTTTTAGCTCGCCCAAATGCCAAGAGGCAGTGCGTGAGGGTTCGCATGTGTGACTGCATGCATTTAGCAGGAATGTCTGTGTGTGTGCATATGCTTCTATGTGCATGTGGGAATGTGGGTGTATGTGTTTGTGTGTGTGTGTGAGTGCGTGATGCTGAGATCATGGTGTACTGTGTTTGGCCTTTTTGCAATCAGCATTGGCGGCAGTGAAAACACAGACATACGCTCTGATATGAGCAGTCAAAATGAGGTGGGTCACAGGACAAGCGGAGCCATTTGATTGGACAGAAAGGATTACAACTGAAAATCAGACTGTATGCCGGAAATTAAAGAAATGAAGGAAACCAAAGGAGCTAATGTTTCTATGACGCTTGTTACAACCAACAACTCCTTTCTTTAATCCTGAGATGTATAATATAGAGCTGTTATTCAACTGTACGAGTCACATCCAGCAATGTTCGGTGCTTATTGGTGGTCAGAACTGTCTGTCACTCACCGGCAGACTGGAGGGGCGGTCCTGGGAGACACCATCCTCATTGTTGGCCTTCCCAGAATTCCCTGGAGCGGGACCCCGGGTGTTGTAGCTCTCCTGCTGGGCCTCCTTGAATGAACGACAGAGAGAGACAAACTCAGTGTGTGATCAATAAATTAAAAGAACAGAATTTACAGACCCTTTCAATAAGTAGATAAATTAGTCAAATAAAAGCAGTATTAACATACGTTTATGTTTACAAACTGAATTGAAAAGGTTTTTTTTAGACACTGTTTTGACCAATGAGGTCTTTGTTAGGGAACTTATTCTGAGCTGCAGTATTTTGCATCATGTGATTTTTTTGTCTGAATATAAAGCTTGGTTTTTGTTCACATTAGTGTTGCCTGGAGCAGACCTTGATATACACACACACACACACACACACACACACACACACAGATGTACATGCAGACTGAAAAACATCCAAACAAGCACCCATCAGCACACCATACCCGACAATTCATTTTACCCAAATCCTGGCCTAACCACCCACTAATCCTCAGAACACACACACATAAACACACACACACACAACACACACACACACACACACACACACACACACACACACACACACACACACACACACACACACACACACACACAACACACACACACACACACACACACACACACACACACACACACACACACACACACACACACACACACACACAACACACACACAACACACAGTTGTATTGTTCAATCTAAGTCATTTTCTTTCCCTCTGTAATCACAAGCCTATCTAGTGTAAACCAATTTTCTCCCCATTGTCGGAGGTGTTGCCCTCTCCCTCCCTCTGTATCTCTCCCTCCTTCCCTCTCCCTCTTCTTTTCATTCACCACGGAGGTCGTTCCTCCATCATGTTAAGCGTCGGCAGCACAATGGCAACTTGTTAAAGAGCTCTGAGTGGTAGGATTAGCGATAACTGATCGGCGAGACGCGGCGAGAGATCACACGCGAGTGCTTGCGCACACAACCAGACACAACGTACACAAAGCCAAACTCTCACTCTCACTCTCACTCTCACCACACACACACACACACACAC